ATCATCATTGTAGATTCTTGGGTAATGTGCTATGAGAGCATCCTGTGAACCAATGTAGATGGAGTTGTAAATTTTCCAATACACATCTCTGACCTTCCGGGCTGGGTGAAACAAACCCTAGAATAATTAAAAGATTACATTATTTCAATTTTCAAAGAACATACACAACCGTAACACAACAAACCATAAATACATGATTCTAAAATTTCACTTTAAGACAGAACAACTGCACAAAACTGCAGTGAGCAAAGACAAAATCTAATTCCCCCTCCCCACAATTGTTGTCCCATGTGGCACAATGTACCCCATTAAAAATTAGGAACAGTGACTTAATTCAACTAAATTACTTTTTTCATTGTTATCTTTTCAAAATCTTTCACCTACCTGTAAACAATACTGCAACATTCTACACGGTCCAATAGCAACTCTCAAGCCCTCCAGAGCTCCCATAACTGCCTGAATTACATGGGGAGATGTCTCAAACACATTGGGCCATACATAGTTCAACAAGTGATTCAGCGAATCTTCACAACCAAATCCATAAACCCCCAGTGACATGTGTTGCACCACCGCACTAGCCGTCTGTCTGTGTACAAGGTCCCTGCAATGGGGAAAAAAATCTCTTTGTTAGATACAGTCTTTGTTTTACTGGAAGTATTCACCACCCATTAGAAACTAACTGAAGTTCAGTGCATGGAACAGAGTCCTCCTCCTCCTCACACCTGACATCTGATATGGAAAGCTTTTAGAGTGCTAATAGCTCTACTTGAGAACTTCTAATGACTCAAATCTCAACAGGGCTAAAAAATAAGCCATTATTTTCTAACAGACCTTTGAAAAGAGTAAGGCTGTGAGAGCCTTGTGCAGTGTATATGTTAGTAGGCTACTAAATGAATAACAGTAATATCACATCTTAAACTCTATAAATTGAAAATCTTTAGATGTAATTCAATACTAGGATAAAATAGATAACAAAATTAAAATCAAATCCCTGACCTCATATGTTCTAAGATTCATTCAAGAATGCAATTTGGGCCCTAACCGGTTTGGCTCAGTGGATGGAGCGTCGGCCTGTGGACTGAAGGGTCCCTCCCGGGTTCGATTCCAGTCAAGGACATGTACCTTGGTTGCAGGCACATCCCCAGTAGAGGGTGTGCAGGAGGCAGCTGATTGATGTTTCTAACTCTCTATTCCCTCTCCCTTCTTCTCTGTATAAAATCAATAAAATATATTTTTAAAAAAAAGAAGAATGCAATTTGGTGTCCTAGCCGTTTGGCTCAGTGAATAAAGGGTGGGCATGCAGACTGAAGGGTCCTGGGTTCGATTCCGGTCAAGGGCACTACCTCAGTTGCAGGCTCCTCCCTGGACTGGGCCCTTGTCGGGGTGCATACAGGAGGAAACCAATCTATGTTTCTCTCACATCGATATTTCTCTCAGTCTTTCCCTCTCTCTCAAAATCAATGGAAAAAATATCTTCAGGTGAAGATTTAAAATCCTATATAATAAAAGCCTAATATGCAAATCGACCAAATGGCAGAACAACCGGGACATAAAAATGAGTTCATGCTCTTTGCCCTCAAAGGTAGAGTATCTTAAAGATAGAAGGAAAAAAATACTTGAACTTTACTAGCATCCTTATTACTTTTATCTACTGTAATAACGTTTAATATATTAAGCTTCATATATAGCAAGGCAGTATTCCTCATTAATACATTTCCCAACTAAAATATTTTTCCTTTTCACTTAGCAATTTTCGACAACTGTCACCCCTCCACATGATTTTTAACTTCAGTCACACATCAGTGACTGCACTCTGATGCACAGACACATCTCACTGAAGAATATGGAGTAAGTATGACGTACTCCTACTTTACTAGGTCCAGCTGGGCAGGCTTATAAAGAAAGATTCTTATTCTGTCCCCAGGCCTTACAAGTTACTTGTGGTAACTTGTTGAGTCTGTTAAGTCTCCCTTTTGGAAGATCATTAATGAGTAACTTGAATCTGTAAACAAGTAACTAACTGAATGGGCTCTAATTTGAGTAACTTATTTTTCCTGAAAAATATTGGCAATGAAACAGTCCCTTACTACTCAGACCTTAAACTATCCCTTACATGTCCCTTAATTACTTTTGTGTTTAAAAATGTTAGTCCTAAATCAGTGATGGTGAACCTATGACACGCGTGTCAGAGGTGACACGCGAACTCATTTTTTTGGTTGATTTTTCTTTGTTAAATGGCATTTAAATATATAAAGTAAACATCAAAACTATAAGTCTTTGTTTTACTATGGTTGCAAATATCAAAAAATTTCTATATGTGACACGGCACCAGAGTTAAGTTAGGGTTTTTCAAAACGCTGACACACCGAGCTCAAAAGGTTCGCCATCATTGTCCTAGATGGTTAAAGGTATCAGGAATCTACTGTCAAATAACTCAAGCAGCCCTAACCGGTTTGGCTCAGTGGATAGAGCATCTGCCTGCGGACTCAAGGGTCCCAGGTTCAATTCCGGTCAAGGGCATGTACCTTGGTTGCAAGCACATCCCACTAGGAGGCGTGCAGGAGGCAGCTGATCGATGTTTCTCTCTCATCGATGTTTCTAACTCTCTATCCCTCTCCCCTCCTCTCTGTAAAAAATCAGTAAAATATATTAAAAAAAAATAACTCAAGCAGTAGTGTATCGGGTCACCATCTGAATAATTTGGGACATACAATGGGAACAGTGTGGCTCTGGCCGGCTATGTGCAGTAGTTCAAAAGCCCAACAGAAATCTCTGCTTCGTCTGCAGTAACAAAAGCTAACAAGATCAGGTCTCTGCCACACCAGTAAGGCCACGCTCCTCGTCTCTAATTATTACGACTAGTTATTTTTAAAATAAAAGTTGATCAATTGCTGGTCTTCAAAATGTATGTAGTCTAACATATGAAAGGGAAGGGGGCCCTTGTAGCATTTATATTATTTGAAGATAACAATAGTCATCGTTTCATGCAGAGGAGCATTCCCCTTTTAACTACATCATAACTAACAGGTCCCATAATAATTATTTACATAAATTCTAAAATAAAGCAAGAATTATAACTATTTCTTGCACTTCACTCAAGTCACTTACCTATCCATTAAAGCATCTTCCAGTAATGGTGTGACAGCATAAATGTAGTCCTTGCCCATTTCACCGATATATTCGAACAAGAAGGAAAGGGACTTTAAAACTCCGTTTTGAACATTGAGCTCAGGAACTCTGTATTCGTTCATTAAGGCAGGGAGCACTGTGAAGGGTGAACATGTTTCAGCGACAATAGCTATTGCTACAGTGGTACACACTCTGTTCTGCCTTTCCTGAACTTTGAGGTTGTTTAAAAGTGTAGCCAACACATCATGAGGGCTGAAAAAAATAAATGTCAGCAAACTGTTAGATTACAGATCAGAACGGTTTTCAGAGGGAAAAGAACAATGCAAAGAAATGAAACTACGGTAAGTAATCACTGGGAACTTAGTAATTTTATGATAAAATACAGTATTCTCAAGTCACTGGCATTGTTTCTACTTAAGAAGTTCATTTAAATTAAAATGTCCCATTTTAAGGAAAAATTCAAATGTATTCACTTTCAAAAGTAATTTTGAGCCTTAAGTAAATTTCTTTAAATATAAGGAGATTTAACCCCTTCCCCGGCAGAAACGTGTATACTTGTTTTCACAAAATGTTCTTTTTCAGTCGTCGACGAGTATACTAAGAAAATATGGTAAAAAAATATGGTTTATAGGAAGACGAGTTACAAACTGTTTTCATAACCAGCATCAAAAATACTATATAGCCAAAACTGGTTTGGCTCAGTGGATAGAGCGTCGGCCTGCGGACTGAAAGGTCCCAGGTTCGATTCCGGTCAAGGGCATGTACCTGGTCTCTGTAAAATCAATAAAAAATATTTAAAAAAAAAAAAAGAATTCAAAAAAAAAAATACTATATAGAACCAAAATAAAAAAATTAGTCTGAAAAAGAAACGTTTTTAACAAAAAAATTGTTGGGGAAGGGGTTAATTAAATGGTCAGATTGATTGAGTGTTCAAACCATGGCCAGTAGAATGAGGCAACCTTACAGTAATACCCATGCCACAACACACAAAATCTTTTCCTTTTCTATCTTCCCTCCCAAATACATTTACTTAAATATTCTCCTTCTTTAAGCATTATTTGACCACAAACTTACAGGGACACAGGGGATAACCATTAGCACAACAAGTATTCATTGTGAATTTCTTGACTACAATTAACGCTAAATACACTGATGCCAAACGGGGTGTGGTGGAAGACTTCATCTAATATGACTTTAGCTATGTTTTATTGCTTGAAAATATTTACTCATTTACTAACGAACCACATGGTACATGTAGTACCTCATTTTTCTACAATGACTGTAGTTTGGTTCTGACAGAAATGGAAGCAAATAACCTTAGATTTATTAATAGCCATAATTCAGTAGTCTGTGGATTAATTTTTTAAAAATATTTTAAAAACACTAACATAAGCCCTGAATTATGCTGATTTTTAAATTAAGAACGGGCCTTAATATTTCAAGCATTATCCAAAAAAAGCACCAACAAAAATTTGAAATTGAGAGTTGTAGTTTCCCTCTCTGAAAATAACTGATTAAACGAAATTCAAAAACCTCCACCTGTTTTAACTCAAACTTCAATAACTAAAGGTTAGTGCATAAATAAGATACTTTCACAACTGCATTACTCACATTATGCCCTAAAAGAAAGTTCTACAGAAATGGAAGCATTTTTCAACATCACAAGAGGTTTACTACAAAATACATACATACATACATACATAAATACATGAATGCCCTGGCTGGTTTTGCTCAAAGATTAGAGCATTGGCCCACAGACTGAAGGGTCAAGGGTTCAATTCCGGGCCCTGAATCAAGGGTGTGCGGGAAGCAACCAATCGATGTGTCTCTCACATTGATGTTTCTCTTTCTCTCCCTCTTTCTATCTCTCTGCTCCTCCTTCCCTTTCACCCTCTCTAAAAACCAACAGAAAAATATCCTTGGGTGAGGATTAAAAAAATATACATATATATGTGTGTGTGTATGGAAATAAATAGTACTCACCCAATGGCCTTTGCAATATAACCAAATGTGTTGACTGTGGCTCTACGAATAGCTTTTTTGTGAGCTTTTAAGAGCTCCAAAAGCTCAAAGCAAATCCTCATCCACTCCCTTGCTGACACATATTCAGCTCCCCTAAAAAAAAAAGTTAAATTTTTGTGCAAGTCTTAAAAGGTAAATTTACAAATCCAGTTCTCAAAACACAATTACCAACTCACTTTTTTTTTTACCAACTCACTTTAAGCATTAAATAAAAGCAATTATTACTCTTCAGAAAAGATAATTTAGTCTTAAAACTGTATTGCTAACCCCCCCAGTACCATCCAAATTGAAATTTCACTGAAAATATTAATACTGACAACCTAACCATATATACACACATTAGCAATGTTAAGCAAACTTGCAAAGTAAATAAAGTGTTTAAATATGAAAACCAATACTACTTATAAAAATGTTTAATTTCTTACCTGTCAGCAATACGCCCAACAAGATCAATACAATTCTCTTGTACTTTTTCATGCCTGTTCTTTAAGATGGGAGTGAGTCTAGGCAGCAGATCTTTAATTGGTGGCGTCATCTTATGCATACCTATTTAATAGAGCCAACCCACTGTCAATTAACATTTGAACCGCAATCTCTGTCCATTTTACCTTTTACTTAGCAATATAATACATGTGGCCAGGCATAAATATAAACTTACAGCTGCCTATGAAAAGAAAAAAGCCCAGATTCTGACCAGACTTAGAATTGTCATTAACTCTTTATTAACAATTTTTGATTATGCATAGAAATGAAAGAAATTAGTGAAGTGATTTAAAGAATGATGGATATTCAACAACAAAAAGTTTTATTTGGTTCTGAAATGTATTTTGTACACTGACATTTAAATATGGGGACAGCTTATGTTCCAGCCATACACAATGAGCCAGAGGTAGACATGTAAATTAAAGCAAAATTTTCCAGAAAGGGCCCCCTTACCCTTTAACTGCAAAACAAACAGATCTCCAGTCTCCCTGCAATGCAGGGCATACTTGGGTGGTATTTACACCTACGAAGAGAGAAAAAAGGAGGCAGCTGGCAGGGGCTCCTGCTCTAACTAAAATTGCTTGCTCTGATTCTCTCTCCATTGCTTTTCCCATGTTTCCCTCACCAACAATATGGTTTACAACTCCCTGCAAACTAGAGCCCCGTAAGTGGCCAAGTAACTGATTTTTGGCCAAGTAGCTACTTTAAGTACAGAGGACAGGACTGAATTGGGGATTATATGTAAGTGCAATAGTTCAAAGATGCCCTATATTGCATAAAAACCCCTTACTAAAAGGATACAGTGCCTGTCACAGCCAGCTATTTTAACTTCCTGCCCTACAAAAGTTACTTTTGCAATAGTCATATTCAATTATAATGAAGGATTAAACACAAAAGACCATTTATTTCAGCATACTGAACTTAAAAGATAAAATACCCAGAAGTAAATGTAATATACTTGGTTTTAGTTTGGGTTAGAAAACTGAATGGATAAAGAATTGGCTATAAATAAAAACAAGATAAACAACTTGAACAATTCACTTTTCTCCCTGGTTATGTTCCTAACCCTTGAAAGAAAGCAGAAAAACCTGCCATCAGCACTTAATTCAAGGTTGAATAGATCTATATACTTTATCCAAGAAACTAAATTAAAACTTCAGCGTTGTCCTCCTGCCCCCAAATATATTTCAGGCAAGACGCTTTCTGAGCTGTGACTACCCCACCTCTCCTGCAGGTCCTAAATCTGCCCGCTTTTCTCTTTTAAAGTAAAATATAAATGGGTTTGGGAGATAAGACTATTGTGACATCACCCCCTGACTTAACTATAATTTTGAAGTACTTTAAAAAAAGGTACCAGAAATCAGTACTCAACCCCCAAGTATAATTCTATAATTTACTTAAAAAATAAATAAAAGAAAGTTAAAAACCAAAACAAAAAAATTCTTACATGACCAGCAAATTCCATACCTATTACATTCACAATGGCCTTCAGTGCTCCAAGAATGCTGCCCAATACTTCAGGGTACTCTTCACCCAAATACTCATACAAAACAACACCCAAGTGCCCCATCAATTTTTCCTGTAATAAATAATGTTAAAAGGTTACTATTCACATTAAACTATATGGTGAAGAAGTAAGTACCTGACATAAAAGTTTACCTCTTGGCAAGTCTTCATAACAACAGCAGTTCGAGAGATCAAGTCAGCTGCCTGTTGCCTAACTTTTGTGAATTTGTTATTTAAAAACCACAAAACTGTACCACAGATCTGAGGCAAGTAAGGTTTCACCCGTTTGCCAAGTGCATTGACCACTGTGCCAAATCCGTTCAACATTACTGAGTCCTAAAAAAAAACAAAAACGAAAACTGAAATCTTAAAAGCTACATTCATTGGGAACTAGAATTCAGTTTGTGACTAAAAGGTTGAAATGTACTGATATTCAGTTTTTAACAAAATGATATGTAAAAATTTAAGGTAGAATATTTCCACATAGCTAACTGAAAGAGAACACGAACATTTCAAATTCAATTACTCTCTAGTTATGTGTTGGTAAATAACATGCTTTTTTATAGTATGAAAGTCAGTGGCAACTTGCCCTAATTAGTATCATTACCTCTGTAGTCTGTTCTTGAAAAGCATAAAGAATGCCATCAATCAGTTGTTCTTCAAGTTTGTGATCAATATCTGCTGCTCCCAAGTTGCCCATAATCTTCTCAATTGTTTCCATCACCATTTTTCTGTACTGTTCAGCTTCATCTTTCAGATCATCCACGATCCTGGATATAATTTCTGCTGCTCCTACTTTGTTAGCCAACTCCACAGTAGTATCAACTAACTAAAAGGGGGGGAGGGGTGGCATTGAATTGATTGTTCTTTGGAAATAGACAACATGAAAGCACAAGTTCTAAAAATACTATTCAGCTAGTGAGCATGCTGAGAACTATCAACTCCTATTTCTAAAACTTAAGAGAAAGATAACCAAAATAATTTACACTTGCATCTAAGTCGAGGTGATTGAAGGTATTACATTCATATTTCCCCAGCCAGACCAAGCATTTCATTGTCAGAGTTGGGTTATGCACACTAGAATGCACAATCAATGTGGAACTTACCTGACTAAAACCCATCTCCTTTCACAATCAGGCACATACAAACTATGAGGTAATCAGGGCAAAAAAATAGGACGTAACATGCGTTCAAACTAGCTAAAAAATTAAGTTAGTGGAAAGGATTTTAAGTTTTTTTTTACAATGAAAGCTTACCTGTCGATAATTTCTTCTATCTAAAGCCATTCTGTGTTGCCAGAAATGTTTAAAAAAGGGAGGAAGAATCTCTGTTTTAATGTAGTTTGCTTCTACACCATCTGTTCCACAGCACTGCTTCACCACCTAAAAGGTTAAAAACAATAATTGTAAACACAGTCCTGGTTTAGTATGTGAGGTTTTTTTAAAAAAAAAAACTCTCTTTGAACCATAAAACACACCCAATTTGGACGAACAAACCTGGAACAACAATAATTTGGGACAATTACCTTCAACACAATTTTCTTCATTTCTTCATCAGGAGATTGGAATTCTCGAATAAGGATTAACATCACTTCTCTAGTATAGTAGTTGGCATATTCTGCATCCATGAGAGGAATAAGATACCCAATAGCCTTTAAGAAGGCAGCCAGACCCTATTTTAAAATAAACATATATGTACTTAGTAAATTGGAATTAAGCTGAGTTAGCTTCAACGAGTAGGAAAAAGAAATCTAATTGGTGGATCTACCTTTCCTCTGTGTTGGCGGATACCCTTCCATAGA